CACAGGGTGCGGGAGGACGGGGACACAGGGTGCGGGAGGACGGGGACACAGGGTGCGGGAGGACGGGGACACAGGGTGCGGGAGGACGGAGACGCCGGGTGCGGGCGCACAGTGCTCTCCTGACCGCGAGAGCTGACAGCCACCTCCCCAGGCCCCCCGCTACCCTCCAGGGCTCCGCTGCACTGCAGGAGACAGCGGGCTTTGATTTTATGGACAAGCTTTTTCAGCTGTAGTGGACAGACGATTCACAATGAAGAGAACAGCATTTCTCAAATGCAGGAAACTCCTGTGTCAGTGGTTCCCAGTGGCTCTGACCAGCCACCTGCAGCGCCCACCACCCACGGCCTCGCCCCCGCGCCCCCAGGCCAGTGCAATGAGCCTCGTTTCTGAACAGCGGGAAAGGGGCTGTGTCGAAGGATGTGCTAAAATAACCCAACGGCAGTGAGTGCACGTCTGCGGTTCCGAGGAGCTTCCACGGCAACTGAGAGCTTTCTATTCTCATTTGTTTTATAATTATGCACAAATTCTATTTTTATCCAATTTGTGGTCCACCAACTGAAAGAGAAAACAAACCCCCAAAACCCCCTCTTTTTAGCTGCTTTTACCTCACACTTGCATAGACATAAATGCCACAGATACATCAGAAAACTCTTTAAATTACTAATTTCTCACAATGAGATATGCTGATAGCGCCTGACGTTTTCCATGCAGGGGACTGTTTTCTCCTGCGTTTCAACGGAAAGGTCTCCTTCTGTGGAAACACAAGGCCAGCCTCTCCCATTCTGCTGCTGCTCACACATGGGCCACTTGATTTGGAATAATTTTTGAGGGTACATTTTAAAGATATTTTAAATCACTGTTTCAAGTTTCCTGAGTCCTCCAGAACACCTCGACCCTCTCAGTCGCATCTGTATTGATAGATTTCAGCACCCTAAGCCCAAGACACCCAGACAGTAGAACAGAGATGGGATTCCACAAGATTCCAGAAGATGCAGGGAGGAGTGCCTAGCACTGAGCCGTGTCCACGGAGACAGGTGGCACCAGGCACCGGCGCTACTCACAGGTAGGTGAAAATACATCCATTAAAACCCAGGGCTGCCTGTAGTCCCGGCTACTCGGGAGGCTGAAGCAGGAGAATCGCTTGAACCCGGGAGGCAGAGGCCATAGTGAGCTGAGATCGCACCACTGCACTCCAGCCTGGGTGAGAGCGAGATTCCGTCTCAAAAAAAAAACAAAAACAAAAAAACAAAACAGACAGACAAAAACCTCAGAGCTCTCTCCACACTGTTGGTCCCACTTTACCCTCCAAATAACAGCCCTGATTCCTACAACTGCCCCTCATCTGGACATGGTGAAAAGGGCGATGGCCGGTGACCCTCACCGATACAATTCACAGCAAATGGGGTGGACGAGGCCATCATTTCTCTATTGCCTTATTTCCACTCTTTCTTTCACGGCCTCATTTCCTGTCCCTTCTAATATCCTTTCCACTGAGCAATAACAGGCTTTCGGTCAGTGAAAACCGAGGCAGGGACGGGGAGGTACAGGCCTGCAGGGACGAAGCATGGCGCAGCGCTGTCTGACCTTTCCCACCTGGGAGGGTGGAGACTTTAAATGTCAAACTGGCCGCTGTGCACTCAGGTGTCTCCCGCATTTCCTTGCTTCAAGCACCGACAAGGTAGGTACTAATTGGCATCAAGCACACAGGCCACAAACATCACGTTAACAGCATCTGCAAGTGCTGGTGGAAACGCCTCGCCCAGCACCCTGCCTGCTAATGCCCTGCTGCCGGCTGTTACGCTGGCAAACAGCCATTTGTCCCTGTGGCCGCCTTCCCTCCACTATTTATCTAAATGGAAAAAAATAAAAACACGGGGCACCCTGCTGAGCACCCCTTCCGGCTTGCATCATTTCCTAAGTAACGGGGCTGGGGCACCCGGTTTTCTGCTGTTGGTGTGTGCTGGGAAAACGTCCTCTGCATTGCTGTATGGCCTGGAGCCCTGGGGCCGGACACCCTTGCTGCTCTGTGGCTGCCAAAGCACTGGACCCAGGGCCTGGGGCTGATGAGGTAACAGGTGAGACCGAAGAAAATGCCAACACCCATGGCTACCCGGGACCCACATCAACACCTGGGGTGCATGGCTCTGTGTGCAGACGCTGCCCATCCCCGGCGCGGTCACTACACACCACCTCCCTGGACAGCCTAACTCTATGTGGCTTTCCCCCAAGGTGAGAGCAAGGTGAGGAAGCCACACAGAGCCCAGGGAGACAGGCCTACCCCGGCAGAGACACGGCTGCCAGCCCCAGGCCCACTCTGAAAGCCACTCCTCCTCTCCTCGGGAAGCACCTTGAGCCCTGGTGCCCCCAGCACCCAAGCCCAGAGTGTGGGATTCCGCAGGGCTGGTGGGCCACAGAACCTGCATTTCTGAGGGCCCCCCACCAGGCGAGGCTGGTGCTGCTGGTGAGAACCCCAGCAGTTCAGAGGCTTGAGAGAGGGGAGAATCAACCCCCTGAAACATCCACACCACAGGCAGCATCCGTGGACACGAGAGCTGCTTTGGGCAAATCTGAAAACAAAGAGGGAGGGTCTGCACATGTGGAAGCAGGAGGTGCTGTGCCACGCTCCCATTCCAGCTCAGGGGCGGTGAGCAGCCGCCCAGGACTAACCACGACATAGCATTCAGCTGGCCTGGCTAGGAGAGTCTGTGGTTTCAGCACAGTTAGCTGTGGCTCTAAAGTTACTTTTGGACCAAAACAGCAAGTGGCGTGCGAGTCTGGCCTCGGTGCCTACCTGCACGATAGGGTGTCCTCCAGCCGACGCCTTCACGGCCCCCCGGCTGCCCTCCGTCTCGTAGTGGGCTCGGTGGTGGGACTTGGGCTGCACCTCAATCCGAAGCTCGTACGGGCCCGAGTGGGATGGCAGCTGCCAGTCCAGGGCGGGCAGGGTTGGGCTGGAAGGGAACAGAGCAGAGGAGGCGTTTAGCGCCACACGGACCTCACCCGGGCCACACGTGCCGCGCTCAGCCATCACCATCTTGGGTGGACACTTCCTCAGTGAGCGCACATTCTACACGGAGATGGACAAGCCCGTGTCGACGCGATGCTTACTCATCGTGACCCGTGGCCATGGCCCGGCCAGTTCTCTAAGACGGAAACATTTTCCAAGCACAACCTTAACACACTTCTCTTCCTTCGTGACAGGCTTCTATCAGTTACTTAACCCTCCAGTAAGACAGGTTTTAGAACTCATTGAAAATCTTTGTTAAAATCTAAGAGGTCCAAGCTGTGGTCTAAGAACAAGGAAGCTCAAACCTCTCCTTGCTATGGACCAGATGTGCTGCTGCTGTTGGACAGGTGACTAACGGGGCCCTTTATAAAATGGTGGGTTTGGAAGACGTGGTGTGTGAAAGACCACCAGCCCCCAGATTCCATGATTGCTGCAAGATGAACAGAAGGGCCTGACTGAGGGCCAGGAGGAGGAACCGGGCATCCATGGAGGGCAGTGAGAGAAAACGCAGCAGGGCGGGGTGCGACAGTGAGGGCTTTGGGAGCCTGCTGGTTACTGTGCACAGAGGACACGCGCCGCATGACGCGGCAGGTGACAGGTGCCGGGTCTGTCCTCAGAGCCCATGGCTCAGCTGGGGGCTCCACGGCCCCTGTCCTTTCAGGAGATGAATGTTTGGTGTGAAAGGCTAAGGTGAGGTCCTGCCTGTGACCTCGGCCTGAGGGTCTTCCCAACTGTGTTCTGTAGGAGGCCCAGGTGGACTGTCTCAGCATTCCTGGGGGCCACACCGTGCACCCAAGGGGTTCTCGCATCTAGGGAGTGGCCTGCCCCCACGCAGCACCATCCACGCAGGCACCACCTTCCACCCCATACAAGAGGCCGGCGCTTCTGCCATCAGAGTCCGTTTCTGGGAGGCCCAAGGCTCTGTGGCCGCTGCAGCCCTGGCCCAGCCTCCTCTTCCACTCAGTCTGTCTCCTCAGCACTGCCTGCTGCAGGGGCCAAGGCAGGCGGAGGATGCGGTGGGACCCTCCCTGGACCAGCACTGCTCAACAGATCAGGTACAACACCCTGCGTGGGCAGAGCCAGCCCAGGGCCCAATGACCGTCCTCACCGCTATGTGGGCAGAGACCCAGGGCCCACCAACCGTCCTCACCACCGTGTCAGCACAGCCAGCCCAGGGCCCAACGACTGTCCTCACCGCTATGTGGGCAGAGACCCAGGGCCCGCCGACCGCATTGTGGGCTGGGGCCCCTGAGGTCACCCTCCACACAGGGCCTGTGACTCCCCCATCTTCAGAACCAGCCCCTCTGCCAGGACTCAATTATCGCCTAGAGCTGCTGACCGTCATTCTATGTCCGTTTTAAGTACAAGCCACAGAGACATGGGACACGCAGGCAGCTTCTTGGGAAGGGCAGGTTCCGTGCAATGCAGGCTCAGAGCAGGGGCATCTGCGAGTTCAAGGAAATTGCCTCCCGAGCCCCCAGAAGGCCCCCACACCTCAGGACACACTGTGAACCCAAAGTGACCTACAAACAAAACAAGGGCGGGACACGGTGGCTCACGCCTGTAACCCCAGCACTTTGGGAGGTCGAGGTGGTGGGATCACGAGGTCAGAAATTGAGACCATCCTGGCCAACATGGTGAAACCCCATCTCTGCTAAAAATACAAAAATTAGCCAGGCATGGTGGCGGGTGCCTGTAGTCCCAGCTGCTTGGAGGCTGAGGCAGAAGAATTGCTTCAACCGAAGAGGCAGAGGTTGCAGTGAGCCGAGATCTCGCCACTGCACTCCAGCCTGGGTGACAGAGCGAGACTCCATCTAAAAACAACAACAGCAGCAGCAGCAGCAGCAGCAGCAGCAAAAACCAAGGCCAGTCGCAGTGGCTCACGCCTGTAATCCCAAAACTTTGGGAGGCCAAGGGGGACGGATCCCTTGAGCTCAGGAGTTCAAGACCAGCGTGGGCAACATGGCGAGACCCCATCTCTACAAAACAAACAAAAAATAAAAACATGAGCAGGATGTGGTGCACATCTGTGGTCCCAGCCACACAAGAGGCTGAGCGGGGAGGATCCCAGCCACACAGGAGGCTGAGCGGGGAGGATCCCAGCCACACAGGAGGCTGAGCGGGGAGGACTGCCTGAGCTGGGGGAGGTTGAGATGGCAGTGAGCCAAGATCGCATAGGCTTCAGCCTGGGCAACAGGGCAAGACTCTGACTCAAAACAAACAAAATAAAAACAATGGGCAGAAAAGACTGCTTTAAAGAGAAAAGCCCAGGAGACTGCTTGAATGGAATCAAACACATAATTTTAAAAAATACGAACACCTAAAATGTTCCTTAACAAGACTACAAATTTTGTGACATTGGAAGCTTCATAGTAATTTGAAAACTTAGAAATAGATTTATACAAAGATGCACCTGGCAGGCTCACCACCCACCTCCGCTCTGTGGGGTTTTGGGCTCTGCGGGTGCCCAGTGGACCCCGACAGCCACGACCGCTTCCCTGACAGAGGAATCTCCAAGACGCAGCTTCGCGGGCTGCACTGTCCGAGCTCTTTCCCACGGGAGGTGATCAGCACGGACACCCAGCATCCGCTAACGCTGCCAGGTGGAAGGAAAGGCGGCTGGACCCAGGGCTCCGCACAGGAAGGACAAGAGCCTCTAGAGAAAGGCTTCCCTGCACAGAGCTCGGGGCCAGCTGTGAGTCTCTGGGGAAGGGAGAGGGGGCAGCTGCAGGGCTGGGCAACGAAGGGCCCCTCTGCAGCGGCCACACCCACTCCTGGACAGGCAGGTACCAAACAAAGTCGTGGATGGTGCGAGGCGGCGCCTGTCTCAGGTGCCTTGTACCTATCTTTTTCTATGAATTGAAAAAGCAACAAATAAAACGCAAAATTCACAGCCGGGTGCGGTGACTCACGCCTGTAATCCCAGCACTTTAGGAGGCCGAGGCAGACAGATCACCTGAGGTCAGGAGATCAAGACCATCCTGGCCAACATGGTGAAACCCCGTCTCCACTAAAAATATAAAAATTAACTGGGCGCGGTGGCGGGTGCCTGTAGTCCCAGCCACACTGGAGGCTGAGGCAGAATTGCTTGAACCCGGGAGGCGGAGCTTGCAGTGAGCCGAGATCGCGCCACTGCACTCCAGCCTGGGTGACAGAGTCAGACTCCGTCTCAAAACAAACAAAAAAACAAAATACACAGTGAAAAAAACTGGGCTCACCGGATTCCCAGGAAAGTTAAGACACAGAGAAGAGACAGAGCAAGAGAGAGGAGGGAAGAGGGAAGAAAAACAGAAAAGCCACCTCCCCCACCGCTGGTCTGCTTAAAGGCAGATGCATTTCCTAAAGATGAGGTAGTCTAAACCACTCTGCAGTTGACTATTACATAAGAATAAGTTTGTGTAAACACAGCCATGTGTCACTTTATGAGGGGGACACACTCTGAGAAACGTGTCCTTAGGCCATTTTGTTGTCGTGGGAACTCATGTGAACCGACTCGGTGTGGCCAGTGCACACCCCAGCCATGTGGCTCACGGCTCCCCAATACATGTCTGCACAGCGTGTGGCTGTGCTGAACACCGTGGGTGACTGCCTCACAGTGGTCAGGGTTTGTGAATCTAAACACATCTAAACACGGAAAAGGTCCAGTAAAAATATGCTCTCATGATCTCACGAGAACCCTCATACGTGAAGTCCGCCGTTGACCCGAACCGTGGTGCAGGACTGCATTTGGCTCTGGAATCATTTGCAGATTTAGTAACACAGTGTGTGCACGGCTTAAAGCAAGAATGATTTACAAAATAAATATCATAATCCAGACAATTAAGATGATTGGTTTTGGTTGGAAATTTTCAGCATGAATTTGGCAGCTCTACAAATTTGTGTCTCTGGTTCAGACAAAAGAGCCCAAATGAGCAGGAAGGGAGCCTGCACTGCTGCGGAGACGGGGCGGCTGCTGCCTATGCTCCACCCCACTCCACTCCACGTGCTTCCTTCCGGGGGATGACAGCCGGGGCAGCCGTGGGCAGGCGTGCTTCAGTGGGGGATCTCTGACCAGCCTAGCCCCGGGAACTGCAACTTGCTTGCTGAAGCCCTGAGCTCAGGACTGAGAATAATTCCAACAACTTCAAAGTCATCTTCGACGTAAGCTAATTTTTTTAAAAAGTGACACTCAACGCAACCAAAAAAATAAAAAAAAAAACTCCGGTGAAATTTGCATCCAACGTCTACCTGGTCTGGACGGTAACCGATGCTCACAGAGCCATGGTGTGTCTCTCTCTCTCTTTTTTTTTTTTTTTTTTTTGAGATGGAGTCCCACTCTGTGGCCCAGGCTGGAGTTCACTGGCGCCATCTCGGCTCACTGCAGCCTGTGTCCCAGGTTCAAGCGATTCTCCTGCCTCAGCCTCCTGAGGAGCTGTGAGTACAGGTGCACACCACCACACCAGCTAATTTTTTGTATTTTTAGTAGAGATACAGTTTCACCATGTTGGCCAGGCTGGTCTCGAACTCCTGACCTCAGGTGATCCGCCCGCTTCAGCCTCCCAAAGTGCTGGGATTACAGGCGTGAGCCACCGCGCCCGGCCCACTGCGTGTATTTCTATAAGAACTTTTACAAAATGATGCATCTTAACAAAATGAGATACATAATCTGGTACTTTGTCTTTTCTTTTTCTTTTTCTCTTTTTACTTCTTAGAAACAAGGTCTCGCTCTGCTGCCTAGGCTGGAGGGCAATTCTCCAACTCCTGGGCTCAAGGGATCCTCCCACAGTGCTGGGGTTACAGGCACGTGTCACCATACCTGGCCTTTTTATGAAAGAAAGATCACATTTTGAGCACTTCAGCATATTCAGAAACAATTTAATCACAGCAACCCATTTACCACAAGGACCATCCTCCCTGTACTGCCGGACTCTGCTGTTATAAACGTCGGTGACACGAACATCCACA